AATGATTTAATTTTCCTTTCTTTTGATTGTTGATTATAATATTAAACTATGAAATATATTCAATAATTATTTATACATAAATTATTAATCGCAAATCTCTCAATCTAATGATAGACAAAAATTTTTGATTTCATTCTCTATAAGCTGCTCTTTTTTTGTATAATATCTCGTCTTCTATCACTTGAGTTAATAGAACTAGTAATAGATTATTTCACAATAAACAAGTTTCTATATAATGCTTTCATGTTATGATTAATTTCTATTACTATCGGTATCTAGAATCATCTAATGAAATTCAAATGTTGAAATTAGTTTAATAAAGCCATGAAAAATCTATTATTTGTTGCCTAGGATGAATGAATAGAAATAACGAATGATTGTTTCAACACTGATTGATCATGTCATATTGCACTCAAGAGAACTCATGGATTTATTTTTTTTGTTGACATATTTGCCTGTAATTTGTTCGTTTGATTAGCATATATGTTGTAAAAATTGTTCTATAATTCACTTTGGTTTATTTCTTTTTTCCTTCCAATGAAGAGTATATGTTATAATTGAAAAAAAACCGTTGTTATATGAAAATAATGAAATATGATAAAATTTGTCAAACGTTTATGAAAATAGTTAGAAAAAAAAATATTTTTAATAGTTTCGATAAAATTGTGTTCTCCAGATGCATTTAACTACTGACAATTAATTGATTTGAAAGAACAATTTTTATTATTCTATATTGAAGTTTAAAAGATTAAAACTTTCAAATACATATAAATGTATTTTAGTTGATGGAAAAATTGAGAAGAAAATAATATATATATATATCTTTGTAAACAGGTTTGTTTTTTCAGTAAAAATATCACTAAACAAAGTAAACTTTTGTTGATCAAATGTTATAAAAGATCTCCATTTAGCAATATAAAGTTCTCTCATACAGTGATGAACAAAATTTTTCGTGCGATTTTTTTTGTAAATGTAATTCCATTACAAAGCTGCCGTTTGACACAGGGGTTTTTTTTCCTGTAGCATCAACATACAAAAGTTTGAATTCAGAAAGTTGAGTCACACTTGAATTGAACTAATAATAGTCCGATGTAATCACATAATGTCGACGAAATTTTTCGTACGATTTTCGAATCAAATAATTTTTTTCTAAAAATGTTTAGCAAAAAAGAAAACCTAAATCCACATGAATGAACAGAATTGTTGATTTGAGAATGTTGTCTCAATGATCTGATGTTGTAGTTAAAAAAAATAATTTCTTGAAATAAATCTAAAGATAAAGAATTGATATATGTATCATGCCCTATCTACCGCACAGTAGGCAAATTACTTCATAGAAAATTTTTCTTGGAAAACTTTCAATTGCTAAAATGTAATTCGTATTTTCTTTTGATTCATTCATATAGATTTAACTTTTTTTTTTTCTAAAAATTTTCAAAGAAAAATTATTTGATTTGAAAATTTCTAGGAAAAAATTTTGTTCGCTAATGTATATTAATACTTTTGACTTTTTTCAATGAATTTTAGTAAATTTTAATGTCCTCCAATGAAGGTCGAACCAAACGAACTTAAAATACAATCTCCATTCAATTTTCTCTACACAATTGGATTTTTTTAATTAACTATGAAACATAGTGTGGCTTCATTTCAAGTAAACAATGTACAGATTAAAAAGCTTATTTGATATGCAGTAGAAATATTTTTTATTTGATTTCACAACAATCAACTTTGTTTTTTTCTTTTTTCAATTCAATGACGACTACTCGATCTACTCGACGAAACCATGTTCATGTTCGAGTTGGTCTGCGAAAATCTCTTAAACGACGATCTAAGAAAGTGAAAAATAGAATACACAGTAATAAATTTAAACGTATCACTTCATCATTAATTATAAGTGATCTATTAAATCAAAATTCTTCTTTTGCTCATGTTTCTTTCGTTCGAAAATCAACAATATCAGGACGGAAAACTGTGAAAAATAAAAGTAAGACAAGACAAAATTTTCCTCGGACTGATGATATTACTGATCAACAACAAATATATCAAAGTGAAAGTCAACATGATCATATTCAATCATTAAATCATATACAAAGAAGAAATTCAAAACATAGTTATCAAGTTCTTCATAATCCAGAACAACTCAACAGTGTCAAACTCAACGATTATAATGATCAACATTTAAATACATTGGAATCATCTTCTCATCCAGTTTCTGAGATTAATTCAACTATAGATAAGATAGTTCTTCAAAATCCTTATATATTATCATCCAATCATATACATGGTTTTATTCCGTCATCATCGTATCAATTAAATAGAAAAGTTTGTAATTTTCATTTAAATATATTTTCTTTTCAGTTCAATTTCATATATTACTGTTTAGAATGTTGATCTATTGCATAGTACAACAGCAAATTTGTCACCATCATTGACTGATATTGCATTTTCGACAATAATAAGATCTAAGAAAAAATCATTAGTACATCCGAATAATGAACAAAGAGATCAGTCATTATCGAATAAGTATTTCTATGAAACATAATCTAACTATTTCATATATTTATCTCAACAGGAAAAAGAAACGATATTGTTCTCCATCTATTCTTGCACTAGCTTGTATTTTATCAGCTTTTCTTATTGGAGGTATTATCGCAGCCATTATAATTCCAATTACTATGAATAAAAGTAATTGTCTAATTAACAAGAGAACCTATCCAGATGTCAAATAACTTTTCAACCGAGAATGAATACTTATGCGTAATAGAACTATTTAGAATGATTTGGTTTTCCTAGCTTTCACATTCTCAACATATCGAAGATTTATGGGATTCTTCAACACGAATCTGTAGTCTCCCTCAGGTCACATGATAAATTGACTTTCGACTTCAAACTCTAACCTCATTAAGAACTTTGTTCGTGCAAAGTTTGAAGTCGAATAGTCGATTTTTCACGTGACCTAAGGGAGATCAGCAGCTGTTTATCGAAAAATCCAGTAGAATTTCGATATCTCAAGAACGAAGATTCGAAAAACCAAGTCATTGTAGACTTTTCTATCACTCACGAGTACTCATCAAATGAATATCATATCAATCGAAAAGTTATTTGACACCTGAAGAAGTTCCATTGTAAGATTTTGATCAAGTTATACGTATGAAAATACTTTTAGATTCATCAACGACAACAATTGCAACTACCGGTACGATTTTCTTTTTTTGATATTTGTATTCTTAATTGAGTCTTTATTAAAGTTGTTTCATCAACGACAACAACTACAACTACCGGTACGATTTTCTTTTTTATATTTGTATTCTTAATTGTATCTTTATTAAAGTTTCAACAACTACTAGCTTAGCTCCTGTGTGTAATACAAGTAGTTATACAACATGTTCGACAGTTCTATTTCATAACATAAGTATCTTGGTTCCACCATTAGAATGGATACTTGTCTCATGTTGTTATGCGGCACCAACAGTAAATCAATCTACAATTGAAATAGCTGTTCAAGATGATAGTGGTGGACATTGGGGTTTAGACAATGTAAGTGCAATACAAGGTAATGGAGAACTTATTTCAAATGGTGGTTTTGAAAACAATTTGATAAATTGGACATTGACTGTTTATTCTAATGCTACATCAACAACAACAGTTGTTTTTTCGTCAGGAAATGAATTTTCAGGTAGTGCATATCTATTTGGATCATCAATGAATGCACCTGCTTATGTCAAACAAACATTTTCTATTATTCCAGGACAAAGTATTCTTATTAGTTTCTGGTGGAAATATTATCCTTTACTTGGTGGAGGATTTGGAACAAGTGAACTGATTGTAACTCTTACATAATATTCTTATTAATTCTCTTTCTTAAATAATCTACAATTGAAATAAATAAATAAACTGTTATATTTTCTTTAATGATATTATTCTTAACAAAGAGTCAGATTTGATCAAATTCTAAAATGTATTTTATTATGTATTTTATAAATTTAGTAAATCTTTTCTTCTTCCCTTCCCCGCCTAAAAAAAACCATTTCATTTTATTTCATGTCTTTTGAACGTCGTTTTAAATTTGTTTCAATATCTTGAATGATTTTTTCTTGAATTTTTTCAAATGATTCTTTTGTTGTATCGACCAGTTCCAATTTTATATTTTTATTTTGTTCAAATGCTTCTTTCTTTGCTTTAATATAAGCATTCCAAACATGTCCTTCAAAATAACCTTCTGGATCAGGTGGATCATAATTTCGTTCGTATCGTCGTTTACGACATTCTTCATATGGTAAATCAAAAAAATAAGCTAAATCATATTGATAATCATCTTTTGATGGCGATACTATGTTAAATATAAGAAAACCTTCAATTAATAAAAGATCACATTTCAAACGAATAGATTGAAAATCTCTAATAAATCGATCTATATCAATTGCATTTAAACAATCCCAATCGTTATGATGATATTTATCCAGATATATATGATGTGGATCATTATTTGGACGAAAATAATCATCAATATGTAATGTTTTCACAACAAGATTGTATTTATTAGAAGAAAATAGACGCTCAAGATATCGACACATTGTTGTTTTACCACCATTAGTCACACCACCAAGACCAACAACGAAAGCAGTTCGTGAAGAAGACATGCAATTATACTACAATGAATAAAATATATATATATATATATATATATAGTTTTATTTTTACTTATTATATAAATAAAAGATTAGAAAAATGAATTACATGAGATAATCATTAAATGATCTGATTTTTCTTTCATAAATATTTTTGTAATAAAATATGATATAAATATAAAACAATAAAATTAATGTCAAGAGTTCTATTATAAAATTATCCTATCCTCGATTATTATTAATCGTAAAAAAAAATAAAAATCATAAAAGAGAAAAAGTATTTAAATGATCATCTATCAGAACAAACAAAAAAAAAACATTTGAAATGCATCGATTTCATCGTACTGAACTACGTCTTCTCTTAACTTGTTTTTATATCTATCTCAATTGTCATACTATTCTATATGTTAAACAAGTTATTTTTCATAATTCATTATTATCATCACCTTTTACACATCCTTATACATATATTCATATTCGAACTATTGTTGGTAGTACTGTTGGATTAGTTTATCGTTGTCTTCTTCTCTATGCACTATGGCGTAAAATGGCTGATCTACTTTTAATTTCAATTATTTTTTTAACAGCTCTCATGTGTCTTCGAATTATTTTTGATATTTATGGTTATTTATCAGGTTATATTAAACAATCATTATATTATCCTTTTAATTCTTTGGATAAAAAATCTATGACAGAAGAAATTATTGATTTAATATTTTCATTAATACAAAATTCATTTGGATTAGTATTAAGTATTTATATGTTTAAAGATATAATTAATAAAAGTCGAACAAGAAGAATAATCAAAGAATTAAATTATCCATCAGTTCAATCGGAATAAGATTAAATCAAAGAAGACAAATAGATCATACTATTATTGTGGTTTTTTTGTTAGATTTTTATATTAATATATAAAATTACTAAATATCAATAAAATCTAACGAAATTTTTTTAAATCATCAGGATTATTTCTTTCAAAAATAGTTTTTGGTACAACAGTATCCATTTTATAAGGAGAAGCTGTTATTTGTTGTTGATTTTGTCGTTCTACTCGTTCATCTATAATTGTTTTTTCATGAGGAACTGGTGTATATGGTGTACCACGAATACGTCGTTCAATTACATATCCAAGACTACCAAGAACTATAAGAAAAAATAAATAAATAATAATAAAATACAAAATAATAATAAACAAAATACTTATGGCAACTGGCAAAGTAATGATAGTTGCATAACGACCAACAATGGGAATTATTATATTCCAAACCATATTTCATCTAGAAATAAAATATATGATTCAAATCAAATTCAATCTTGTATTTTTTGCATTCTTTTTTTTTTGTAAAATTAAATTTTGAGTTCTATTCATTTGTTATAAGTTGAATTTTTATGATTAAATTCAACTTATTTTTATATTTTAAACTAATTTTTCAATAATTTATTTTAATTATTATATAAACTGTGTTTTCATTTCAATTGATAATATGTTATAATTAACTAATCATAACAATGTTAAACCGTTTACTTGTTGAATTTTGTGGTTATTTGCTTGTTTGTATGAATATTTTCAAAGTATCTATGAAAAATTATCTGATCATAGCACAATACTTATTATATAAAAACACAAACATCAATATAATTCATGTTCTTGACTCAATGTAATATCTTGTAATGGTTAAGTAAACTATCATACCGAAAATAGAAGAATACAAAGAATAACATTTGTGAAGTTGACAACACTTTCTAATCAAATGTACAGTGAGTCCCAAAATGATTCAACAAGGTGTAATTTGGATTTTTTTTTCGTAGCCTTAAGTGCTAGAAAGAATCCAAATAGTGATTTGAATAGAGAATATTGTTGCCAATAAGAATTCGAGAAAATGATAACCGTCATGAATTTTCTCAAAATAGGGTTTCTGTAAAACCAACACCATGGTTTTTTAACAGTCAAAAACTGTAAAGAGAAAGCCTATTATAACAGTCTAGAACTATAGAGCAGCCAATTCTCTACAAAGTGAGACGTCTCCGAGCTTTGTACAACTTTTCCTTCAAAGGTTAGAAGCGTCACAAAAATTAAAAAAAAATGAAATTTATGAGAAAATCGACTAAAAAAACGCATTTTTTAAAATTTTTGTGACGCTTCTAACTTTTGAAGGGAAGGTCGTAGAAAGCTCGAAGACGTCTCATTTTGTAGAGAATTGGCTGCTCTATAATTTTAGACTGTTACAACAGACTTTCTCTTACGGCTTCTGAATGTTGAAAAATCATGGGTTCGGTTTTCCAGAAATTCTATTATGAGAAAATTCATGACGGTTATCATTTTCTTGAATTCTTGTTGGCAACAATAATCTCTATTCAAATCACTATTTGGATTCTTTCTAGCACTTAAGGCTAGGAAAACAAAATCCAAATTATGCCTTGTTAAATAATTTTGGGACACACTGTATATCAGTAATCAACAATGTTTGTGAAGATTTTTCATAGAAAATGATTTGTTTTTTGTTTTTAGTAAATATGAAATTCAAATGAATATATTATTTCTTTTTATCGTCTTAGACATCATTCGAATTTTTTTTATTTTTGAAAAATCGAATAATAATAAGACTTACTTTTATGAATTTCAATGTAGGTTTTTTTTGTATTCATGTTAGATATATAAATATCATATAAAATAAAATAAAAAATAATAACAAAGAAAAAAAATTTCTTTTTTTTGTTATCGATATTAATCTAAAAATACAAACGATTTGTTTATCTGATCATCGTATGACTAGAAAAAACAACAATAAAAATAAAATCACTGTAACAAATACATTGAATCCTTATTTTTATAGTTAAAATTAACTGCAAATAACCATGGTAATGGACAATGATTACTATTAATACAAATAAGATGTGTATTTAATGTTCTTTCATTTTTGATTTCAATTGTTTTTTGATTACAATCGATAATTATTTTTAAAATATCACCTTGTCGAATATCTCGACCATCATAATTATGTGTAGTTGATATTTGTCTATCATATATTATAGATTGTCGACCTATATGCCAACCAAATGATGATCGATTTAAATAATTTCGATCTTCTGTATTTTCTAATCTAATACCTTCAGAAATAATACCAACAAATGCCCATGATGATGGATAATTAAATGTATCAATTGAAAGTCGAAGACAATGTACACCAGTCATATATGGATATTGACTAGCAAATGAAATACGTCCTAAAATATTTATTTCATTAGGAGGTGATGTTAAAGGACCATCACCAATTATTTCATCTAATGTTTCATCAGATAATAATTCATATTGATCAATAATAGGTGACTAAAAAAAAATAAAAGAAAATATAATTGAAATAATCAATACAAAAACTAATTAATTAATTAATACTTGTTTTTCAATATTAGATGATGTAGTTAATAATTGTGTAAGTGAAACATTGCGTAGTTCATTGATAAGTATTGTTGATGGTGATGTTTGATTTATTGGTGTTGGTGGTGCAATTAAAGGACGACGAGCTTCATCTGCTTGTTTTCGAATTTTATCAATAGCTTTACGTTCCCATTCAGCTATTTTATCTAAATGAATATGACGATTATATCTTTCACTTAATGGTTGTTCTTGTTTTAATTGATGACGATGAATAATACTATGTCGACTACAAAATATTTGATGACATTCTATAAATATATGATCATTGATCATATATTAAAAAGAAAATTTCAAAATCAAACCTTGACAAATAAACCAACCATCATTGTTGTTATTATGATTTTGTTCACATTGAATACATTGTTCTGGTTTATTTGCTATTGAATACATTTCTTATCTAAAATAAGATGAAAAAAAGTTTTCATCTTTAAATCATGATTAATAAATAAAAAACATCTTTTAGCTTTGTATATAACTAATTTTGTTGGAAATTTTAAAATAAAGCTTTTTTAAAAAAAGAGTATAGCTAAAAACAAAATAAGTTAAACAGACTAAAAAAATTTTTTTCTCAAAAAAAAAAAATACATATATATATATCACAAAACTTTCATCTTGAATAAGGAAAGAAATAAATCAATAAAAATTTATATATATATTCATTGATCAATCCCAACCACCTCGTACATAATTCGGATCATATTTAATTCCATTTCGTTCTAATAAAGCTTTAAATTTTTTTGGATTACGTGCTTCTAATTCTTGTTGATATCGAAGTTCACCTACACAAAAAAAAAACAAATTAAATTAATGATCTCTCTCCCTCTCTTTTTTTGTTTTTACCGGGTTCCCAAAGTGTTCCATTCACTCGAGCACGTTGTTTTAAATCTTTACCATTATGTCCTTGTTCTCTAGTTCTCCAATTCCACCATATTCCACATTTAGCACATTCAATTATATTACATACACCTTTTTCTTTTAAAGTTAAATGACGACATGTTGGACATTCACGTAGTTGTCCTGATTTAATCATTTTTTTAAAAGCTATTTAATAGAAATATTGTTCAATATTATAATATAAAAATAAAAACTAAATACATACCAAGATCAAGATCACCATCAGTACCTTTTTCAATGATTTGTTTTTCATTACATATAGGACATGTAACTTGTTGTTTTTTTGGTGGACCCATTTGAAGAAAACCACCTTTTTCACATTTAACACATGTTATAAAATTTTCATTACGACATAATTTTTTTAACATATATGTTGTAAGAAATAATAATAGTTCAGAATATGTTAAATTACCATCGTCAATTATATTTTCTACATGACATGGAACAGAACATGATTCAGCTGGACATGGAATCCATGGAAGAATATCTCCATCACGAATACGTACAGATAAATATCGATTAAAATCATCAGTACAAACTACACAATGACCGCAAGCCTATAAATTTAGAGAAAAGAAAAATCTTTTTTCTTGCTATAGAAAATAATATATATTTAATAAAATTTTTCGAAAATGTATAACAACAAAAACATATCGATCTATTTATTATCTCGCAACATTTTAGAATTGACTTAGCATGAAATAAATATATCGGAGATCACAGATAGGATTATTCATTGAATATAAGTTTTATACTGTAGTATAGATTATCATACGAGTGAAACAAAACAAAATGCTATTTATATAAACAGTAAATTTATTTAGTACTGACATTTTATGTATTAGAAAATTTATTATAAAAATAAATTCTCTGTTTTATTTAGAACATAATACGTGATAGAAACCCACTTTGAAGGTTTCCTCCTCTAATTTAATACATATTTATATAAATTAATAATTCGATTCCGACCAATTCTAAGAATTGGAATCGATCCATCCCTAGTACTGACCGTTCAAGTACAAGCATGAGTATGTATTCGTACGTGCCCCGCTCTGATAATGATTATTATTAGTTTTTATTGTATTAGATATTGATGTTTTGCTTAAAAGGATGACGTATTTTTTTTTGCTATCTCATGAATCCTTGTTAAATAAAATATTGTTTTTTTTTTCAACACCATATTAAATTATTCGATGAATGTTTGATCTATTTCGAATGAAATCGAAAAATTCTACATTTTGAAGTAGAAAATATTTTGTATTCATTAAAATAAGCTTGAATATTAGAAAATAAATATTGAAGATATTTAATTTTTCTTTAACTTATTCAACAACTGTTTTATTAAGTGTGGGCGCCTTTCCGAAAATCGGATTGGCCATCTCGAAGTTTGTGATTATTTCACCATGTGCTCTGTGTCTATGCTTCCAAAAATAGGTTTTCGCTCTCTGGGAGTTTTAAATCGCCCGTTCAGAAGTGAAAATCTGAATAAAATGCTGTTATTCAATACATATGTCACAGGCAAAATTGCTTTTTATGGTGCTTCTATCAAATTCAATTTGGACTAGGCAGAATTCGTTCTCTGTTCACATGATTATTTCATATCATCTAACTATCAATTTCTTTCATTTTTATAAACAAAATTCATTGAGTATTAAATAGGTTTTGATATTTTCTTTTGCAATATCAATGATGACATTACAACGAGCGACTTATTCTCATTCTATTATTAATGATTTTGCACATGAAAAATTTTATGAAGTTGCTAAAAAACATATTGATGCACTAAATCCTAAATTTCGTAATGAAGCTATTATCGCCCGTGTTCAAAGCAAAAAAATATAATCAGTGTACTTCAGAACAATCTATCTACTGAAAAGATTTCCGATTGTTTTTCTCGATGATCTAAACAAACGTTCACGCTTTGTCTTATTGCCGGTCATCAACTTTTATGTGATTTTAAAGAAGTTAAGCCTGTTCTTTTATACGAGGACATGTACGATGTTTATCAGACAATCCACAGAATGTCATAGAAAATCTTCTCTCTTTTAGACAGTCACTTCATCTCAACCCATTTTCATCACTTGCTAGAGAAACATTCGATCCTTTTAGACAATCACTCCACGTCATTCTATTTTCATCAAAACAGGCCATTCAGATACTGTAGATAAAAAATTACTCATAAATAAAATTCAACCAATCATCAATGTCCCAATGTCTCCATCATCGAAAAAAAATCAATACAAATTCATTGTGGAAAAAACATATTTACTCATAACTACAATTTAACCAATCATCAATGTTCCCATATCTTCATCATCGAAAAATAAAATGCAAATTCTTTGTGAAAATAATAGGTTTACTCATATATAAAATTTCACCAATCATCAATGTCCCCATGTTCCCATCATCAAAAGAATTACTAATTTATTATGACATGAAAAAATACTGAGCGTCTTATATCTTTGCCATTCAATAAACTAAGAAAAAGTTTAAATTTTGAATAAACAAATGAATTTATATCTTTTTTTTACAAAATCAAAAATAGCAATATCAATCTCAACTAGATTCCAAACTTACCTCCCACATCTATATTCAAACAAACTCAAAATGATATTTTGATTTGATACTGAAGTAATTACAAAAGATGATAAAGAATGCCGAAGCCTCTGTGTCAATTTTTTCTTTAATCTCAATTATGTGCAGAGCTAATTTTCGACTAGATAAAATCATATCTAATATTTATATATAAATGATTTACTTTCATTGTAATCATTGGCGCATCTTCATCATAACAAACTTGACAATTAGGAAAAGTTAATTGACCTTAAATAAATAATTCCAATATAATAATATAAAGTAATAAAAAATCTTTATTTTATTTACCATCTGATTCATCATTTTTATATTCAAGTTTATTAAAAAGTTCAGTCATACAATCATTTAAATAATCTATTGTAAGTGATTGACATTGTTGTTGTTGATCTCTTAATATTAATAAATATTGATTAAAATAGGGTAATAATTGACTATTATCTAGTCCTTTTTCTACAGCAGCAGCAGCTTTTCCAGATGAACCTTGTTTTTGTGACTCTTCAGTATTTTCTACCATTATAACGTCGTCATCATCATCATTATCATCATCTTCATGTTCATCACTAACATCTTCATTGTCAGAATCCGTACCAAAATTTGTAAATAAACGAGGTAACTCATTCGGATTCTGTCCACAGCCTTGACAGACTAGAAAAATAAGAAATCTTTTTTTGTGTTTAATAAAACTTTGTTTTTATTTCTAGTGGAACACACTTGGAATATGATCACCAATATTAATATAACCACAGTGAACACAATCAATCACTTGATTAGCTGTTGTAAAACCAAACAAGGCTGCTGCTGCGGCTGCTCCTACATCTGATCCATTGGTTGGATCAACAAAATTTGGATTAGGCGTACCACACTACATTCAATAAGTTATTAAATACGAACAAATAGTATTAAAAAAAAACAAAATATACATATACCATTTCACATGTCGGTCGTTTTATAGATTGAATATATGTACATGCACCACAAGCATATGTGCCTGGTGTTGTACTCATATTTATCTACAACAATAGGAACTATATTTATGTATTATTCTATAGTAATATCCAGTCGCATTTAACGGACGGTTACAAATATCAAAAAATATTTACAAATATTAAACAAAAAAAAAAAAAAAAACGATTATAGAAAAATATATTTAATTAGATTTTTTCTAATAAATCATCAGTTGTTTGTGATTCTTCAGGTAATGATGGTGTTGTCAATGTTGGTGGAATACCAGCACCAGCATGACTAAAAAATAATTTATAATTTAATTTAATAAAATATTGTTTATATAAATATATATATATTTTTTTTTTTACCTAAGATATGGATGAGTTGAGATTGAATTAGCACCAGTAACATATTTTCGTCTAGAATAAAGAAAAAAAAAAAAGAATTTATTTAAAACTAAAATTATATTTTATAATATTTCATACCGTTGATGATGTTTACTAATAGTCGATAATTTATAATCTAATCGATCATCGCCTAAATCAAGTAGACTATCTTGACTAGGACCAATATTTACTTCTGATTGACTTGATTGACGAATTGGAATTTGTATCTAATTCAAAATTACAAAATAAAAACAAAATTGATTTTAATTTTATAGGAAAATTTTTGTTTTTATTTTCTTTTTCATTAACCTCATGTACTTCATCTTCCATAAATTGATCTTCATCTCCACTTGTATCTGTATCACTCATTGTACTTCTTGTTCGTTTATTTTCACTCATATTCATATGTTCAACATCCTTTAATGTTGCTGTTGTATGTACAGGTGATCGACTTCGAGCACGTAAATTAGCAAATGCATCATTTGAACGTTCATCATCAGTACCACTATTATATGCAGCAGGATTTCCTTCATCATCAGAATGTTCACTACCTTTAAAAATGAAATTTTTTTTATTTTTATTTTTCAAAGACAATTTTTGTTTTTGGTTTTAATTAAATAAATTACCATTAATTCCATTAGTATGTTCATTTTCGTATGATTCAACTTGACGTTTTAGTTTAGCTAATTCTCCTTTTTTAGTATTTAACACAAGAACAAACTAGAAAACACAAAGAAAATCAAAAACATTTTTATCATTCCAAAGAATAGAGAAAAAAAATTTAAATCAGTTTGATGATAATCATAAAATGGGCAATAAATCCTTTTTTTTTTATTATTATTATCTTATTTTCATAATTATTCTTGAATTTTCCTTTGTTTTTGTTAGTCGTAACATATTTAAATAACAACAAAACACAATTTTTTCCTTTTCTTTATTATCCTTTCCACTTCATAGAAAAATAATTCAAAAAATAAAATAGTTGTTATGTATGCGGAAGGTACAACATAATTTCACTTTCAGTCTACCGACGTTTAAACATAATTATCAAGAATTCTTTGCTGTTGGTAAGTAAAAGAACGAAAAAATAAAAATAAAATAACAAATAGCCTACCTACACAACAAAACAATTTCTATTCATATGACTAATCAAAGTTATTGCACAACGATAGAGATTTATTCCTCATTTATTTTTTTCTTTAACATTTCATTGGATTGGAGATCTGACTATGAACGATCTATTAGCTGAAAGTGCACGGGTAAGAGGACGATCGTTATCAAATACACATATTTATTCATGATTAGATTAGCCTTTTTAATATCATGTTATTCAAATGACATCATCGGTTTTTTTTCTTTTTCAATAAACACATAGTAAAGGAAATAGGAACGAGACAGATTAGTCTATGCTGCATTAAGTATATAAAAAAACGAAAACACTCGAATGTAATAAAATCAATATATGCATATACGAAGAAAAAGAACAAAAACAAAATTTGTAAATGTATCGATGACATAAAAAAAAAAGATATTATCATAAACTTTGTCACGATGATGTTGCTTTGGTTAACCACCGCATACCGTCAGAGCAAAAAGAAATCCCTTAAATCAAAGCCGATCAAATGGGTAAGGTAAAAAATAAAAACAAATCATTTTGTTTTAAATTAATTAATAAAAATTTTTCGCGGTTTTCTTTTATATTTTCATCATTCGAGTAAAATGAAAAACAATCGATTTCTTTACAAAAATAAAACTTTTTTTCGATTTATATTTAAAAAAAAAAAGTTATGGTTTATTTTGTTCTTCCCATGATTACCTATGTAATTCGACGCATAAGTACGACGTGCGTAAATGCGCATTTTATGATATATGTCATATTTAATTTTTTTTTATCGATCAGAAATATATTTAGATTCAATTTAGATATAAAATAAATAAATTATGACAACGCATTAATCATACATATATATTTCGATCTTCAACAACATTGAGTTGTTTTTTTTTCTTCTTATTTCTCAGCCTTTTTGTTAAAACTAGTCACAACACATTTTATTAGATAAATTTCTTGATGTATTCTTCAACAAGTAGATTATATCTTGTAACTGAACAGGACGAAAAATATACAAAGGTGAATATGAACAAGAAAGAAATAGAAATAGATTAATCTAGAAGAAATGTTTAGAAATTCAAATAAATTTTAATAATAATTTTTTTTTTTTTTTTTTGTCTTTAGTATCGTAGGTACAGTCATAATGATACTCTTCATAGTCCCAGTCATTGTCGTAGTAATTCAGCAAATTCTGTCGATGTTTTTAATTTAATTGTTCCATCAAATTCTGATTCAACATTATCACAATTAAAGTGTCCTGCATGTTCATTACCAATGACAAGACCAACTGTATTACCATGTCAACATACATTTTGTTTTCAATGTATTAAAAATAATCAAGAAATTCGTTCAAGTTCATTACCAACTCCTTCAAATAGTTGTTTACTATCAAATATAAATCAAAAAACAATAATACAATGTCAAAAATGTTCACGTAAACATCATATTAAATCTTTATCAGATTTAGAAGAAAATCAATCAATACAATTATTAATAAATACACTTTTATGTGAACAATGTCATCAATTATATCAATCAAAACAACTTGATGCATGTTCTGATTGTTATGGTGTTTTTTGTATAAATTGTTATAAAGAACATACTCAAAATCATCGAAATGATTTAATAACAAATAAAGATATGTATCGAATTGTATCTACAGATGAAACAATCAATATAAATATGACATTAAATTCCAATGATAATGAACAAACTTCAGATAGTCAAATATTTCATGCACGATCATTTGATAAAGAAAAAAAGGTTGGTAAAAAAAAAAAGAAAAGAAAAAAGAAAGAAAAAATATTTAACTTTTTTTAAAATGTTTATTTATGTTTCTTTTCAGTTAGCAACGGAATCAACTAAACCAACTGTAGTCAAAGAAAATACGGAAGATGAAAGTACAGATTCATCGGAAAATAATAATTCGAAGAAAAAATCAAATAATATTTTTCGTACAATAATGAGTCCTCGACATCGTCGATCAACTAGTCTATCTAATAAAGTTTCTATAATAAAAACTTCTTCATCATCTAATAATAAACAAATATTTTCAACAAAATTTTTTCCTCGAAAAAAATTAAATATTAATACAAATATTAAAGATACATCAAAAACAGAATCTATACAAGCAATAACACCTATTACGCCAGTTAGTCGATTTATAGATCTTAGTGATCAATATACATATACTGTTCAACATATAAAACAATGTAAACAACGACAAATAGAATTAGATCGAACAGTTAAAAAACTTATTGAAGTATTAACAATAAAAACAAATGAAAATATAAATCAAATATTGCAATATTGGATTCATTTTAAACAAATATTATTAGATCGATTTCAATCAAACACAAATCGATGTTTAATATTTGATTATTTATTTAAAACTTGTTTTTCAAATTCAGATTCTCAAAAACAAATTGATTTATATATTGAAAAAAATGATGAAATAAAAGTAGCATTAGAAGTTCTATCAACAACATTAACTATTGTTATTGATAAACAATCTATATTAGCAATAAATCAATTATTTGATCGTGAACAACAAGCAACAATACATACATTAAAACATCAACTTGAATCATTATTATCATCATATTCTGATACACTTTCATTAATTAATGAATGTATTAATGTATATGAATGTCGTTTTACTACATGGAAAGATCCTCATCCAACTGATTTAAATTCAATAACTGATGGTTGGAGACAAATTATTAAAGAAGATTATCCATCATTAATAGAAAAAATTTCAAATGATTTTATAACAATAATACCACAATTAGAGAAAACTCTTTTACAAATGCTTTATGAAATGAGAAGACGTTTGTTAAATTTTGATAATCAAACCACAAGTCAAAGGACTAATATTAGTTAATTTATGAAAATTTTTTTTGTTTTTGTATTATAATTAATGTTTTATTCTATTTTTATTATAAATATATATTTTTACCTTACGATAAAGATCAGCTTCAAGTTTTTCTTTCATATCAACTGTTTGTTTAACTGTCTGAAGAAAAAGAAAACAAATCATTATTAAAAAAACAATTTTTTTTCTTCAAATACTTCAAGAGCTTTATTCAATTGACCATTAATACGTTTAATTTCAAAAATTTTTTGTTCATTTGCTGATCGTAATGTTTCCATTTCATCAATAGCATGATCCATCATTTTAGCCAATACCTAATATAATATAAGATAGATAGATTTTTTCTTTTTAAATCAATCAAATAGATCAATAACTTCTTCGATAGGTCGTTCTTGAAGTTCAGTACTACCAATTATTTTTAATGAATTAAGATCATCAACCATTTGTTTCCATACGAACTAAAACAAATTAATTAAATAATTATTCTAAAATTTCTTTTTTCAAGTAGAATTTTTCCGTAATAAATATTATAGAATATTCTTTTTATTATCGTATCCTTTATCGTCTTTTTTTTTTCGAATAACAATAGATCGTTTGAGATTTTGACTTTAGAAGCAAGAACACTCATCAGAAAAGTCTATCTCTATAATTTAATTCAATATATATATATATATATATATGTCGAAAGGACAATAAAGTAATATGAATAGGAATGCATCAATTATTCCTAGACTGTGGTTGTCGTATGTTTAAGAACTCATTGTGTTGGCGATTGTTTATAATAGTTTTGACTTATAAAAAATTGACATAACAATGGGTTCTCAACTCTCGAAAACTACGACTCAGGGGTTAGTACATTCCTAACTCTAGAATTTTTTCTGTCTATAGAAAGCATTTCGAACCAAAGTATGACTTTAGATTATCATGAAATCGCATAACAACAAAAATATATCAATAATAATTTTTAGTAAAAATGAAGTAAATTTCTTTGTAAAAAAAAAAAGTTAAAAATCTTTGTTTATGTTTTCTCATTTAAACTATTAATTGAAATAAAGTATGATTACAAGAAGACTTTTTCATACTTCAAGTCGATTTTTTTCAAGTTTTTTACAATTAAAAACATAAATTTTTCCATCAATTTCTGAATGATTTCCTTTTGAAAAAGCACGTTGTGTATGTGAATAAAATGTATCATGTTCTTCAGGTGGAAATTTTTTTGCTAATATTCGAACTTGATGTTGATTTACTAAACATATTTAAATATTTTATTTAAAAACAAAATCTCGAAAAAATAATAATAAAATTTACATGTTCCAATCCATCCAATTTTTAAATTAGTTAATTGCATTGAAATTGTATTTGTTCTTTCATCAATTGAACTTTTAAGATAATATCGATCACCATTATCATCAAGAATTTTTACAAAATATGTAAAATCATCATCCATTGATCGAGACATTTTTGATTTTTCTTAATAATCTAAAAGAGAAATTTTTTCTATTCGAAATCAAAAAAAAAAGAAAAAGAAAAATGTTTTTGAATTTTATTTTATTTTTTTGTTTAGTTAAATAATATAATACAAATTTTATTTTGTCCAACTAACTTTAGGAATATCATTATATTCGGTAAGTTTATCTAAATAAGAATTAAGTTGTTCAACTTGTTCTTTATGTGATTTGACTGCTTTTTGTAAAATTTTTTCTTCAGCACGTTTAGCCATTGCTTCATCATAAGCTATTTCAGCTGGTGTACGTAAATCACGACGTGATGAACTACTACCTGATGGACCATGTTGATCAATTGAATTATTCGTTACAGTTGATGTAACATGTTCCATTTTTGATGAAGGTGCTTCAATAGTTTTTGATGATTTTGATTTTGATTTATTTTTATGTTTATGTTTTTTTGAAATTTTTCCATCTTGAATTGAATTTGAAGAATCACCTTTTAAACGAAGACTACCACCAGTAAATGAATATGCCGACGACATAATAATTATCTATACGAAAATCAAAGTAATGTTTCAATTAGAAGAAAGAGGAAGGAAGAAAGTCATGGAATATTTATTTGTCTCTCTCTCTTGCACTTTTTTACACAACGAACTAAAAAATGATTGGTGAGATTTTATAAATCAATTGAAATCTGTTTACAGATGTCGTATATCAACGAAGAAATGATAGAATTGTCGCTTCTTTTTTTTTCTTCTTTTATGATAATAAAGAATAATTTTCGTACATCAATAACTTTGTAGATTATTTTTATCAAAGAAAAATCACCTATAAATTTTGATTTTTCTTTTTGCGAACAATCTAAAGATAAATTTGTAACTATGATCGATCTTGATTAGACTTATATCCAAAACAACATTGAATCTCTTTATATAAACCCGAGATATCAAATTTCTTCAACAAAGTTTATTGTCAATTTTCTCTCTGTTATCTTAAGAGTATTGCCTCCTCTTGTCTTTTTTATCGCTTCTGATTTTCGGAGATAGTATAATCGATCAAACTGGACAGATGGAGCACTAAAAATAAGGAAATACAGGTTCAAATAGAAAAAATTTTGAAATAGATTTTTGTGGTTTGTTTTGGGAAATCTAAGTTTTCATAGAATCATATCCTGATTGTTTTTTCTCTCGAACACACATCTTCTTATTTTTGGGGCTCTATCTGTGGTAAAAAATTTCAATTTAATGAGTTGTACTGTCTTTAAGAACCAGAAACGATCAAAAAAAGGAAAGAATGTATCTTTAAAGTACTAGAAAGAGTTGAATAGTAGAGAAAATAAAGTTATTATAAGATTCTCAAATGAGGATCTCCAGAAAACTGAAACTCGATTTTGTCAGCGCCTTGAATTGATAGAGCCAACAATTCTCTACAAAATAAGACATCTCCAAGTTCTCTACGACGGTTTTTGGCGAATGCAAAAATTAGTCAATACAATAATAATCGAGAAATTTATAATAATAGAACAAAAGACCTTGCGAAAATTATTGGTTTCAAAATGATTTTCTCGTATATATTATCGAAGAAAAAGATATCTTCATGTCTTCTTTTTCCATTGCTGAAAACCGAGTATCGCTAGCTACTTGTGTTCTTGACTTATTCAATTTTTAATCGAGTACTTTTAAGTTCTGTGCTGACATTAGTTCATATCTTGCGTATTTCAGAGAAACAGGTACTTCTCTCTCATGATTTTCAGTCTACTAATAGGCGTCTTGTGGCTATTCTTTCAGTGTTACTTTAACTAATTCACGTGCGTTGCTGCCTTTTCATTTCATTACTATTAATTTCTCGACAATTAATCGTAGATCCGCTGAAAACTAGAGTTTTTCTATCCTGACGATTCTATTTTTTGTGAATCTGATAATAATTTTCATTTCCTTATATTTTTTTTGGAAACAATTTTCTCTACTTTAATCATTATTAAATTCTTTCTAGCACTTAAGACAAGAGAAAAATAAAATTGAAAATAAATCTTGTGAAATAATTTTGGTATCTACTGTAAATATTTTTGATAAGAAGTATAAAAATATATTTCGATATTGAATTCTACAATTTAAATTTGCATGAAATCTCTACAAACATGTCAGGATGATTGTGAAGAGAAAAATGAGCATGGACAGTGATGTTTCTTTTGTTTAAATAGTTTGAAAAATTTTGAATGTTCATACAAACAGGTATACGAAATCAAACCAATATGAACACATCAATTATATACTAAATGTTTGGGTGATTTATTGAATCAAGATCATTTTTTTAAGCATAATTATTTGTAAGTATATATTTTCAATCAAGTTTTCATACTTTCAGCATACCAATTTTCTTAGTCTTGGCGTTTGATAGATTAAGTCTATTTTTCTTTTATAATAAGCGTAAAAGATTTCATATTAGCTAGGTAATAATTGGTTAAGTTAAATTTGATATTAACTTATCCGAAAATAAAGTAGTTCGTAGTCAACAGTGTGAAACTAGACAAGATATTGTATTGGTATATGAGCAACGGTTAGAGTGGGGTGAAACCAATCATTTAAATCACTCACCTATACACTTTCATCCTCAAGATTCAACTACTAGACTTGCTATGAGTATACGAGGATAGCGACTATTAGTTCATCAGTTTCATTGTCACGTATTGCTTGCCATGTTTGTGGTGATTGGATGCTTGACTATGTTAGTGTTTATCATAGTTTGATACAAGTGATTAGTAATAGTGGATTTGTAACTGACAACCTTATTGGTTGGACTTCTGCAAGTACATTTAGTGTGTGGATTGAAATGATCAGTAGAGGAAGCATGCAGTTTGCACAATCAGATAATTGGTACTATTACGATCAATACAGTAATTATAATAACACAATAAGTCGAACGTTTTCTATTATTGCACCTGATATATATCACACTTGAAATCGACAGAGTTTTTTCCAATCGGACCAGACTGACCGATCGAAATTCTTAACTTAACCTGTGAAAAACTGGTCCGTTGAATATATCAATTAAACAAGCTAGTTCTTTTGAGGAACAGTTTATTACTTCGGTTTCACGAAGACATACAGTGTAAAACTCATAGAACTCTTGGAATTTCTAATAGTAAGAACTTTTATTTTAGTCTGTCACATTTCATATATGCTAAAACTAAGAACAAACGAAGAACTCTTTAGTCTCGTAATTTACGGCAATTAATATTTGAACAACAACTATACTTTTTTGTGACTGAGTTTTTTTTTACAAGAATTGATATGTTTGATGTTTTCTTATTTGAAATCATTATTTAACACAGTTAAAAGACATCTCAATTTATGACAGGATGCTATAGCCGACAGAAAGATAATTTGAGCTACAAAAGACGGTTTTTATATTACATATCATATTTTAAGTTTTGTTAATACTTAGGTATATTCACAGTTGCATCATGTTAGTAATGGACATGATCTTGACAACAGAGTAAAATTATTTTTGATATTTTTGTATTGAAAACATGAACTAAAAATGACTAGCTATTGAAAGTTTTTGATAGGCAGTTAATAGTAGTCCAGAAAAGTGAGCTCGAAATTTCAAAGTGAAAAATCTTTAATTTAGACTGAATTTAGCTTCTAATGACTGGTTAACTTTTCATAAGTATAATAAACTTATTCGGCATGATCCTGTACTTTCATTCTACGAGAAGAAAGCGTGAGCTCAATGTTTATAGCCGAGATTTTGACGACGACTCGAAATTTGTTAGTTGGAGACTTTCAGATTCATATCTCTTGATGACTAAAGCCATAGGTATTGATGAAAGTACCTTATAAGTTGATAAAAAAAAACCGGTGTAAACTGGTCGATCCATTTGCTAATATGATCAGAATTACAGGGTGAACAAGCGAAGGTACAATCCTATTATTATATACTTCTTTCCATCACGAAAAATGAACTAATAAGATGAATGCCAATAATTCTTGGAGCAAATCGTGAAAACATTTTTTTTTGTTAACAAGATGCGGAATATAATACCATTCACTGTTTTATATTGACTTTTTTCTTTCTTTATTCACTTGTGACACTGCTGCGAAACATCCAACAAATCAATTATTTTACAAACCATATGTTCACTCGTTTATTTCAATTTTATCAATTATGTACCATGCCATCGAATTGCATTCTCATCATATATAATTACAAAATGTGGTCTTAAATAAACACAAATTGTGATCGAGAATCGATTCAATTAGTTATAATTTGATAGGTATAGTAACAAGTTGAATGATCATAGAAGTGATAGAATGATAGTTCAAGTCTCTTGTTTTTATCGCCATTGAGATAATAACATTGAAAAAGTTTGCGAAAAACTTTTCTGTGTTTCATAATATTTTTCAGAATAATCACATTATTGATTTATAGATCCAATTGATAATGTAAAATTGATTAAACAAACGATTGAAATATTAACAACATTTGATACAATCTATTTTTTTGTTCTATAAGTCTTGTACTTTTATTATAATTTTGAATCTATTTCTATAGTTTGTTCAAATATAGAAGATTATATTAAAGATAAAACTGTCTTATTTTACATTGAATTGTATACAATAAACTATATCAGAGTTAAAAAATCTAGAATGTGTTGTTTAGTCGAGAAGTTATTATTTATTTCGAGACGATTACTAGTAAAATTATGTTAGATTACAAAGCAAAAAAAAAAACAAAACGGAAGGGCAAATACATTTGGTAGTATTTTATTTTTTCAAAAAAAAGCCTTACTTATATATATTTTCTTAATCATAGGCCATTTCATTCTTTAACTAAAGTAAAATATGCAGTCTTTATGTTTAATTCTTTGTTTTTCTTTCTGTCTCAAGTGATATTTTTCTTAAGCAATTCTCGTCAAAAGCAGATTAACATTAAATATATTTACCAACGAAAGAAATACAAAAATAAAACATCAATATTCTGGTGCTAGATCATATTAAAAATCAAGTAAGATTGAATTTCGTGCATCATAAGTCGCTAAAGCTACTAACGAAAACAAGATATCAGTTATCAACATCTATCTCTTGATTAATATTGATATCCAACTTCATACCTTACGAAAACCTATTTATTTTTAATCTATTTTTCGTTTTATAGCACATTTCCATTGTATTATTATATAATAATGTACCTATTTATCCCATTTATTTGGATTTTAATTAATCATGCTTATAAAATTATGTCAATGGATTGTGAATATTCATCACGCGAATATCAAGTTTTTCTTCGACCAGATCTCATGATAAATTCTTTTGAAACTGGTGTCATGCAAGTTATTGATGAATTAGTAAAAATTGAAGATTTAAAAATGATACCATTTAAAGTATTACAATCATCTTTGAAATTTAAAAATGTATCCTTTACTCAATATGTTTCGGATAATAATCGACCTGAAAATGATTTTTATATAAGACCAGTATTTAAATCACGACAAAAGAAAATAACAGCACCAGCTGATATTGTAATGAAAATTTCAAATATTGATCCAGCTCTTGCATGCTTACAATTAAAAGTAAATATCTTCTTTTTCTTAATTCAATCAAATATTTTCTTGTTCTTTTCTCAGATTGCAGAAGATTATCTTAACAGTACAGTCGTTAAATTTGAACTCGATATACATACTGACAATGGTAAGCTTACAGTTAAAAGTGCACATAGTTTTACTACGAGTCTATCATTTGATTTCGATCAAATATCTCCAGTTAATCTGTCTTCAATTCTTATTAATGCTGGTACAGTTACTCGTTCCGGTCAACCAATCATTATCGTACCTGATTCATTGGGCAAAGTCACTATGCAAACAGCTGAATTTACTATTAGTTTGGCAGGAAAAAAATTTGAAGCAGAAATAATGCATTATCCAAGAATAGACGATGTCAAAGCTGAATTTTCTTTTAAAGTCAAAAGTACGAAAGTAGATTCAGAAGTTCTTCGTGTTGCACAACAATTAGTTGCTTATTTATCACAATTACGAACGATAGCTTTATATGCATTTATACATTCAAAGGATCAATAAAAATAAACGAGAACCAATGAAAGAAATGATTTTTCACATCTGAAACGAATATAAATTAACTATCAAACTACAATAGTAAAATTAAAAGAATATGTCTGTATGACAATTGAATAACTTTCTAAATCAAGAACAATTTTATTTCTATAAAGCAGAAGTAACAATAACATTGTTAATCATTCGTACAGTGTCGATTATTTTCTTGACATTCAACATTTGTGGACTGAGTTTAGTAGCAGAATACTTTTTGAATTATGTCTTCATCATTCTGAACATTTTATGAAATTCATTAGAAAGATCAATGATGAACGAACTTGCAAAAAAACGGATAAATCAAATTGTTTAGTTCAACTATTTCTAAATAGACTGCTTTAGTTATAAACACATTATCAGTATAATGTTTATCTGTAACAAAATAATTTTTTCCTATAAAAGAATTTCTTTAAAATATTGTTTGTATTCATTTAACTCTATGTCAATGGAATATTGTTTCCGACCTTGAGTACATATCAATGAGAAATATACATAATCTTGTGTATGTTCTCGAAGAGGGTACAACCGATCTACATGAAGTTATTACCAAAGATACAGTACCTAAAATATCAAGATACATGATCGAGAAAAAAAATTTTAGATAAGATTTTCGAGGGTTTCCAGTAGGACTACATCGGACCTGCTTACGGTCTCCGTCTAACTTTGTCTGATTGAACAGAATTTTTTTTTCAGATACCTTAGATTATATATCTCAGAGATGATTTTAAAATTTCTCAAAAATCTCGCTTTCTTTTTTCTTTATGAAAGAAATACGTAAAGGTTCGAATCCAAAACTAGGGTGCTGACGTTCAAGGCTCTATAAATCCGGGTAGGAAGGTCAAAAACGAAAATGGCTGATATCATCAATGGTGAGTACTTCCAAATATCTCTGGTCGAAGTTTTAACCCGTTCGGACAACGTTAGAGAGAGGTCGTCAGCAGGCTCGATGTGCTCCTATAGAAACCAGGATTTTCCGAAAAACTGCGAAAATCTTATTTACCCTCTTCGAGAACCAAAAATGACTAAAAAGAGGGCGTGCTCTTAAGACAACAAGCACAGTGTTTTAATTCTATATTCAGTATTTAATGAAATACACAATGACAAAATTAAATTGGTTAATAGTCCAATCTTCGTTTATTACTGCTAACTTGAAAAAGTTTCTCACCAAGGATACAACTTCAAAAATGACGAGAATTATTCCTCTTTTCAGATTCTATAATTAATGATAATTTAACGTATTAATTGAGTTTTATGCATTGTTACCAATTAACTGAATTTGTCAAGATGTTTTCAACACAAAACAATAGCATAGAAGAATTTGAACTCTTCTTGATCTAACAAGAAAATACTACTTTAAAGATCATTGTTTCATCGCTCTACCGTAAATGAATATTCCGATTGTTTCTTTAATCTATCTAACACAATGTGTAAGAACTAGATGCGTACATCAAGGTCTATGAGATATATTCATTGCATAGAAGACTTTAATCAAAGAGGAAATATGGAAGGAAACTATATAGTTTCAAGCATTAACCATCATACTAGTAAGCATTGGAATAAAAGAAAAAGATTACGTTGATTCATGCTGATAAAAGTTCCACATTAAACCAGTCAAAGAACAAGCGACATCGTTCTTTTTCTTCTCGACACCAAACAACGTTAATATTCTTTTTAGCAATATTCAGAGAAATCTGAATGGTTAATGTCATACAGGAAGAGAAAAGAAAAAGTATTTTTCTTCGCTGTTCTTACCATTGGTTTACCATCCATCATAAACACAGTTAGAAAAAGATTACACCCAGTCTAAAAAAAAAACAGAACAAACAAAACTACGCTGTTGAGTTTTGAGTAGAACTTTAAATGTCAGATTTTTTGGGTCGCGCTGGTCGAATTACTGAATGGGTAGTTATATCAAATTTAGAAAATCGAGCAGTCAATGCAGCATGCGATAAAGCTCAAGATTGGTGGAAAAATCGAAAACACAATAAACATGATTCACATGCATCATCTGCCAGTCCAATTCCGCCTCCACAACCATCTCCGCAAACAATATATCCAAAACCATCGCCTCAATATCAACCACAACAAGTATCCTATGGACCACCACAACAAACATCCTATGGACCACCACAACCAGCACCATTTCCGCCATCTATGGGATATGGTGAATTATTGATAAGTGTCAATCATATCGATGGATTAAATCAATGGGGTCCATTAATTGTTATTATGGAATGTAATCATCAAAGATATCAAACATCATTAGGACAATTTCAACAACAATATTCATTTCCTATTTATCAATTTGAGTATGATCAACTTTGTGTTTGGATTCAAACAGAATATCAACAACAAACAATTGCTTATGGTAATATTCCAATACAAATTTTATTAAATAATAATAATAATTGGACTCCTCAACAACAACGATGGATTCCATTAAGAGATTATTATAATGGACCAGCTGGACAATTGCTTGTCAATATCGAATATAAAATGAATTATCCATCGACACAACAAACTCCAGGACCTCCACCACCTTATCCTTATTATTCATAATCGTTTTGTTTGTAAAATTATATAAATGTAATATTAATCTTTTTTCATTTGTCTTTATTTATGTTGATATCTTAATGATATAAAGGCAAGCGCAAGGCAAATAGAAGAAAAAAAAAATTTTTTTGTTTGCGTATAAGTATAGAATAAATTTGTTCTCTCTCAATAGGTCTATGCTTTTGTTTTCTCTCGCATAATGTGATAGATCTGTACAATGCGAACAAGATAAACGACAAAATTGAGAGAAAATTTAAAAAAAAAAAGAAAATCTTCAGTTTCATCAAGCTTGACGAACAAAGCAGCGATCAACATTAATTTGTATTTTTTCACGTGTTTCCGACGGAACATTTTCGAAACAAAATCTTAAATAAAATAAATAATAGAAAAAATAAACGAAAAAATTTAAAATTTTTATCAATAAATAAGACTTTTACTTTTTAAAATCTTCAATTTCTTTATCGAGTGCATCCATTTCATTGCAATCATTATCTTGTGGAATTGTACATAGATCAGTAAAATGTTCTTTTTAAAAAAATTACAAAGAAATAAATATCAAAACAAACAAAAAATTATTTTCATTTATTTATCTACCTGAAAATCCATTTAACAATGATGTTTTCTCTGTCGTTGATGAAAGTGTTAACCCAGCACCACTATGAAATGGATCATAGAGAGGAAAATCAGTTGGAGTTGTTGATAATCCATGTTGTTGTTGTTCTTGTGAATAATTCCAATGTGATTCGTTTGTATTCGTTACAGGTGTATCATTCCACGTTGAACCTGAACTACCTACAGCATAATTCATAGGAGAATAGAGTGGAAAAGGAGCAGAATTTGTTGAGCAAGAACGTGGTTCAGGTGAAGGTCGTTGAATACATCGAGATGTTGTATTATTAACAGTACCAGGCGCTGGTGAAAATGATGAATGTGGTCGTTGTACAGGACCTGGGGCAGTTGAAGGGATAATTAGTGATTGAGATGGTGATGGAAGAAGAAAACCATTTGGATCCCAATACATTGATGATGATGATGATGATAAACCTTCAGGTAGAATTACAGATGATGATGATGATGATGGAATAACAGATGTACCACCAATTGGAATTGACGTTACAAGAGAAGAAGAGGATGGTGATGATGGTGTATGAGTTGGAATATAAGATGGTGTTGTAGGAAGTAGAGTTGATGATGATGGCAAGACAGAAGATGGAGGCATGGATGGTATTACTAAGTAAAAGAATAAAATAATCTATTATTTTCATAATTCAAACATAAAAAGTGATCAATATTCTTTTTTCTTTACAAATATTAATATATAAATCATAATAAATTATCTTTAGTATATTCTGATTAAACAATATACACTACAGATACGGTCGTAAATGTTTTTATATGAGCTATTTATGCATCGTATTTTATCGTAAATCAAATTAATGTTTTACGAATATATCAAATAGAAATACGGCATATATACGACCGTATAATACTGTAGATACATTGGTGTATTACGATGAAACAAGACTTGTTTTCATATGGAATGTTACTATTAATGGACGTATACGACAAAAAAATAAAGCACGGAAAATCGTAATAACCATTCCTGAGTAATAATTATTTTTCCAATGAATAATACCTGGAGTATGTTCATGAATATTATTATTTGTCCAAAGATTCAATGATGGTTGCACTGCTGGTTGATGTGAAACGATTGATGGTTCAACTTTTTGTGGTTGATGTGATGCATGATTTTTCAATACATTTTGAAGACGAGGTGGAGCTACACTAGTATGCTGTTGTTTATTATTATTATTATTTGATATTGTATCCGAGGTTCCATGTGATGATGCGCCAATTGTTGGTATGACTTTTTGTTGAACATTAGATGAAGAATTCATCGTTGAAGTTGTCTTTTTAGTATTACCTGTTATCTGTTGTTGTTGTCGATATTGTTTTGTATTCGTTGGGGGTACAACAGGTTGAACAGGTAGAGCTAATAGAGATGGCACAGATGGTGGCGTTGGTTTATGTTTACTTTGTTTACGTGAAATAGTTATCCAGTTGACTTCCTCTTCAGGTGTATCAAAACTTTCTGATGGAAGATCAAAATTTTTTCGAGGTGTATTAGATTTTTGAGAAGAAGTTGGATGAGGATCCGTAGATGTTGATGTAGGAGTATTGGTTGTTGTTATGATGGTATTAGAAAAAGTTGATGATTCATCTAGAGAATTAGTTGCTTGTTTTTGTTGTTGTTCAAGTTTTAGTTTAGCTTTTTGTTTTCGTTTTGATAAAGGTTGTTGAGTTTGAATAGGAAGAGTTGAGGATGATAGAGGTGTTACTTTCGTAGATGATGATGAAGATGAAGTACTACGAGATGGTTGTTGAGAAGAACTAAATATTAAAAAAATACAAAACTCTGAAATATTTCTTAGTAACAAAAAAAAAAGGAATAGAAATATATACGTTGTTTGTTGAGTAGTATTTGATCCATTTTGTTTTTTTTGTTGTTGTTCTTTCGATTGAGACGAATTTATTTTTATTTCATCATTATTATTAATTTTTGATTGTTTATCTTTTTTCTTTTTCTTTTTTTTTGATGTTGTTTCATGTGTTGTTGTTGTTGTTGTTGTTGTTGTTTGATGTTCATTATTATTAGATGATAATGTTTCATTTCCATCAATAAATCTAACTAAATCATCAATATCATTTTGATCATTAAGAAGAAATTCTTTTGTTTTTGTATTATTTTGTATTGATTGTTTTTTATTAGTTATTAAATTTTTTTTTTGTTGTTGATCTTTTAATAAATTTTGTTGTTCAGTTAAATTTTGTACATTTCTTTTAGTTAATTTAAGTTTTAAACGTTCTTTCATTTCAACATCACGTTGATTAAAAGTACCTGTTATTGTTGTACCCATAACAGATGTTGTTGTACCTGGTAAAGCCATACATGTAACACAACTACTTATTGGTCCATTTGTTGTATTTGATGTTGATGATAAATGAAGACATGTTGATGATGAACATGTTCGTCCTTCAGATGATTCACAACAACAAAATTCACAAGATTTACAATTAGTATTATTATTATTATTATTTGATGAATTCTTTTTTTGATTATGATGATGATGATGATGATGAAGATGTTGATGTTGTTGTTGAGCAAGTAATGTTTGTAATGCTTCAGTTGTTTTAGATGATATTGAATGTTTTGATGATGATGATGATGATGAATCAAGACAAGTTGGAGAATGAAATGATGATAATATTGAATGTAATGCTGCTTCAGATACATCAGTATTTGATGCTGCATGACGAAGAAGATGATCTAAATTATGATAAGCTGTTGATGATGATGATGATGATGATGATGAATTTGAATCACATTTATTTGATGAATTAAAAAATGAATGAGAATTATTTGTAGAATCTAAAATAAAAAAGAAATATTTTATTTTATTTTATTTTATTTAAATAAAAATAAATTCAACAAACTAAGTAATGTTTCATTGATAGTTGAACGTTGTTGTTTAGTTTTTTTAAATTGTTGATTATCTTTTTTTCTTCCATTATTTAAATGTTCTCCATTACCAAAACTTGTTAATTCATTAAAAAGTGCTTCAGCTATTTTTTGACCACCATGTTCAGTTGTTTTTGTACCTGGTTTACGGGTTAAATTAATACTTAAACGAGTTTGTCCCGTTGATGTTGTTGTTTTAGCTGCTGTTAATGTTGTTGTTGAACAATTTGATGATGATGATGATGAGGAGGAAGAAGATGAGGATTGAAAAGATTCATTTGTATTTGGTGATGTTATTGAACCAAATGTACCAGCAGTAAATGAAACAGATTGAATTTTAGCTGAAAGATCAGCTATTGAACGTGGAAGAAGTAAATCAGCAGCAATAGATTTTTTAGGTATTTGATTTGCTGTTGTTGTAGTTGTTGTTGTTGTTGTTGTTGCTGTTGTTGTTGTTGATGAAGAATTTGATGATGAAGTTTCTTTACGACGATGAGATGATTTATTTGATTTAGATTTTGTTGATGAAGATTTTTTAGATGAAGATTCTGAAGATGTTGTAACTAAAACAAATATTTATATTCAAATTAATAAAAATGATCAAATTTTATATTCATTTTTATTTTTTAGAGATCTCTATTTGAACTGAGATGTAACAAATTAACTTTTTTGTCAATTTCTAAAAATCATGATGAGTTAGTTTTTATATTTTGATGAGTTTTTTCCAATCATCTAAATCTTTCATATGTTACTATACAAATTCAAGGAGGAACCAACTAATTTCTATCTATCAGTGAAAATCAGTTTTTATTTGTTCATCGTAAACCAATAGGAATCACCAGATATGAATGAAAACCATGAGAAATCCTTAAGCAATCACTTCGAATATTGAAAATAATTGAAAATCAAGAAAATCAATAGAAATCAAGGATTTACTTTTAATTTTATTACTGAAGATTTTTTAATGGCTTTCGATAATTTTTAACTACTTCCAATCATCGTTCATATCCTTAAGGTATTACAAATTATTTCTAGCATACAAATCAATTTGTTTTCCCTTGATAAAAATGAGAATAATAGTATCATACTTTTGAGTTTACTCTACTTTTCTAAACCATAACTGGTAAATTAGAGAAGGTAGAATGATTTTCAAGAGTTTAGTATTATTGTTACTAGAGACGTGTACAGAGTACGAAAAAAAGCTTACCTTGTATATCTCTATTATGATATTATTTATCATTTTTAGAGACTTACAATTAGAATATGATTAAGAGAGAGTGAGATAAAAATTTTATAGAATCAGATAAGAGTACCCAGTTAGGCAAGAGCATATGTTAACCTTTTAAGGTTGCGATTTTTTTTGCAATTGAAGACATCATGATTTCGATGTATATTAGCAGAAAGAAAGGAAAACATCTGAGAATGAGCCTAGATGGATAGACGGAAAGAGAGAAAAGATATGCATGACATAGCAGATGGGACGATC